TTTCATGTTCTCCCTGTGCAGCATGGGATTTCTCCAGGTTCTCCAGCTTCTTCCCACAGTCCAAAAAACATGTTGAGGTTAATTGACGATTCTAAATTGTCTGTAGGTGTGAAAGTGAGTGTACTTGGTTGTCTCTGTGTGTGTGGCCCTGTGATAGACTGGTTGCCTGTCCAGGTGTCCCCTGCCTTCGCCCTGAGTCAGCTGGGATGGACTCCAGCCCCCCCACAACCTTCATGATGTTTAGGCGGTGTATAGATAATGGATGGATGGATAGAAATTCCTATTCCCTCCCACATTGCCTGTAGGCACCAAGGTCCTAACAACATGTTCTATGGCACTTATCCAGGTTGTTCTCTCCTGACTCAATGCTCGCTTGTGTTGTATCTACTCTCAGATGTACGTCACTTTGGAAAAAAGTGCAAAATTAGCTTATAGAATTGTGAAATATTTCCAAAATGGTAATCATATGTATATATATCCCCCCATACACACACACACACACACACGTATATATATATATATATATTATCGGACTTTCACATACTTTTTGCAAAGCCTATAAATGATTCAATCCGTAACTCAAAACCCCAATCCTAACTGAATTGTGACTTTTCTGATCTGTTGCATTTCTTACCATGAGCCCATGTGTGGATTGTGTCACAGAGGATCAACAAAATTGCAACAATTGTCTTGCAAATTATAGATATTATATTGTTTGTCCCAAAGGGGCAACACCTGCAGCATTTTTCATTAAAATGTCCCAGCACAAACTATTTTTGTAATAAATAAAATATACTTGAGTAGCCAAACTCACTGATAGTGTAGACTGTTGCATTAGGAACATTACATCAGTCAACTTTTGCGCCTTTTATATGGGAAATAAAAAGTGATTAGTATTCACCTTGATGTTTCCATATCTAAATCCAACAGAATCAGTTTGATTTAATGGGTTTTTAATTTGAGGCCAGTAAACACTGACTCATCTCATCAGAAATTCCTCTCCCCTACACCTCCCCCGTCAAACATGCGAATCACACTTTTTTATATTGTTAAATGAAACCCGAGTTGAATTCTTAAACAAGCTGTGATTAACCAGCACTGCTCAGCCAATCAGGACAGACCCTGAGAAACCAAATCAGTTAGTTCAAACCTCATTACCAAAATCCAAATTAGCTCAGTTGATTGGACATCCCTGCAACCCCCGTCACTGTGTAGTACAAAAACATTTTTACTTCACTGTTGTTTTATGAATTACATGAATATTCAGAAAGACATTAAGTTTGATTAGTTTGTTTTGTGAGATCAATTGTTGCATCTGTCAGAGTATGATGGGCTGTGTGTTTGTGCTAAATTAAATTATGTAAATTATAGGAACAGTGTGACCCAGCAGCTGTGAGAAGGAATCATGAAGAAGCAAAAACACTCTTTTTTTTTTTTTTTTTTTTTTACTACTGAAGACTACCACATATTTTCATCAAACTTGTTTTATTTAGAGTTCAAACTGAGCTGCTACAGGTTTTACAGATCTGTCAGAAGCTATAAAATGATACATAAAATGTAGAAATAATGTCATGGTAAAAACTAGCATGTGGGTACTAATGTACACATGGTGAAGATATCACCATCTTCTGCAGACATCACAGCAATGTACATGCGCTTACTTGGTGGATTGTATAAGTATGTGTTAGAGCTGTGTCCAAGACTTGTTCCTGAGACTAACTGCCACTGCAGGACAATAAAGCACCTCGTCCTACATGCACAAACATGGGATAGGTCAGTAAGAAAAAAACTGAAAACAAAATGAAACCAGTTCCATCTTGGTCTTTCATTTTTGACACATTACACACAACAGTGCAACTATCTGCAACACATTCACACCACACCCTGTCCTTCACCCTGAGCGAACACAAAAGTGTCACCAAACCCTGAACCATAGAACAGCATGCACACATCTTTTGGAAATCCAAGTAATATCTTTCTTGTCAGTTGTAAGTAACCAAATTCCATATCTAACCTATAAATATCTCACATGGTTTCTGTGTGTCAACAGCTAACTCTTTTGCATATTTGTGTACATCTAGAAAATATGGGATATATGCCGATTGCAGCATTATCATGTACAAGACATAGTTGAAAAATTAAGATCCTGAAGGTATTGCTTATACCAAAAACTACAAATAATAATGACAATAGATGTTTTTCTTGTGTTGGTGGTGTTTCAGCAGACATATTCAGACATATTCTAGGAGCAGCTGTAGTAATTTAACTGTAACAACAACACAGTGTATGGTGACAACTGGGATGAGTTGTTGAACAGTTGAATTCTAGAGAGACAAGCAGACATACTAATGAGGTTAATACTGGAAAACATGATAACACACACACACAGCTGGTGTCCACACCTGCCCACCTGAGAGTAGGTGTGAGGAGGATGCAACTGCTCTAGGTTGGTCCCTGTGTACGAAGAGACATGAGAGACGCACAGTTATTCAGTCACTTCAGAGGACATTACTTGGATTCACATTCATTTCCTGGAGACGAAGACCAAGGTTTCACTCTAAAATGTAATTACTGACCTTATGGGGACTTGCTTTGTGTCCTCAAGTGGATGCTGAATCCACACAGTGTATCTGTGTAGACAGATTTATATCAGTACATATGCATTCTATGTGGTATCAAAGCATCTTAAAAAGTAAATTTTACTTGCTAAAGCTGAAAAAACCCTGACTGACTACATCTGAATGCATTTTAAGTGTAGTGTCAGGTGGAGGAAATGGACATGTGACAACATCTGTGACCTCCAAATGTCAGCATGTTGTATCACCTTTGAGATATAAGATTTTAAAGAAAGTTTATGTAATTTTCCCTTGATGGTATTTAGGGATATGTATGATATAAAACTATTATTCACAGACAGAAGATCACTGATACAATCAGAAGATGCATGAGGTGAGGTTGCTGTTGGTTTGAAACTAAATATAAAATGGGTTTTGTCTCGTATTTAATAATATGTGGAAAAATTGTCATCTGGTGCAAGATGCCTGCTGGGGGCACTGTGAGGGACCCACTTGGAGAACATGAAGATGGCAGGTGGATTCTGAAAAAAAGGGTTTTATTTTGCAAAGAAAAAAAAAAAAAGAAAAAAAGAAAATATATATATCTTTTCTATAAATCCTCACTTTTATATTCTAGGCTTGCACTATTCTTTTTTATATGTATATTTTTATACTTATGTATGCACTATTTCTTATATGTACATTTTTCTTTCTAGTATGTGTGTATCTCTGTGTGTACTGCTGCTGACAACACTGTGAATTTCTCCACTGTGAGATAAATGAAGGCTTATCTTATCATATCTATACATATCCAGAAACATATACTTATTTTTTTAACTGCTGCTTCCTGGCTGCCATCTTTTGCCCGAAGCTGGCCAGATGAGCACTGAGACTACATGGTGCCAGCAAAAATATAGTACAACTAAAGATATACAGTGCTTAACAAATATATTAGACCACCACCCAGTGTCAGGTTTATGCCACAGCTGCCCTAAATTAACAGCATTAGTAATCACCAACATTTAGTTTTATGTTTCTGTTATGATTAATACACCAGCATGTACTAGCTCTTTACCCCAAATTATATTTTTAATATTAAAATATAATTATATTATGAATTTTCAAATTTACGGTTTTACAAAAAAAAAAAAATTTAAAGCACATTATTATTTCTTGATTATGATGTCTAATTATAGCGATTTACTTGCATTCCTGAACAGAAAAACAAATTTCAGTGGTTGAATGTGATGCTTGATTTATTCCTGACTTCTCAGAGAAGCCCAGTGGCTCAGTTCTGGGTATAAAAGGTAAATTCAGTTTAAAATTTCTCATTCCTGTTTAAAATGGTTAAATGTCAAGAGCTCACTGAAAATGAAAGAGTCACATTAAAGCACTTCATGATGCTGTACAGTCTCTGAGACAAACAGGGAAAGACAGATCAAAGTCTGAGAAAGTCTCCAGAATTGACCATAAGCAGACAAATGATGGAACAAGGTTTAAAGGGAAGAAGAGCTGCTACGAAGCCATTATTGAGACCCACAAACATCCAGAGATTTCCCAGCGAGCATAAACACTGGACTGTTGATGACTGGAAGAAGGTCCTCTGGATGGACGAGTCTAAGTTTGAACTCTTTGGTCAGCAATGTCGTGTTTCTGTCTGGAGAAAAGCTGGAGAACATTTTGATGCCAGATGCATTGCACCCACAGTGAAACACGGTTCCATCATGGTATGGGGCTCCATTTGTGGAAACAGCGTGGGAAAATTACTGAAAATCAATGGCATCATGGACAAGAACGTCTACCACAACATCTTAGTGCATCATGGAATCCCTTCTGGACTGAATCTGATTGGTCGCGGATTCATATACCAGCAAGACAATGAGCCCAAGCATACTTGAAAGGTGTGCAGAGACCATATCTGACCAAGAAAAAGGAATCTGGAGTTCTGGAACTGATGGACTAGACAAGTCAAAGTCTGGATTAGAATCCTATTGAACAAATTTGGGATGTAGTACATTTAAAGATTGATCACACAAAAGTTTCATCTAAAGCAAGTCTGTGGGAACAGCTAGAAACTATCTGGAACTCAACAACAGAGACTGTTGAAAAGTTCCTGAAAACAATGGCAGCAAGAAGCAGGCTGTTATTAAGGCCGAAGGAAGCCATAGAAAATATGAAGGTTTTTGGTTATGTGTGAAAAAGGACTGTTTAGTTGTTTCCGTTTGTTATTTGCCAAACAAATAACAATAACATTTTTCGTTTTAAACAAGTTTTTTGAAAGATTTCTAAAACATTTATGATTTCTTGTTTTTATGACAGGTGCTCTCATACATTTGTTCAGCACTGTACATTGACAAAATGTTGAATATACAATAGTTAAGTATATGTACACAATGCAAATAGAACTACTATACTCGAAATGACCTCATTTATCCTCTTCTTTAGGTTTTTTCGGGGCGAGTACACGGTGGAGGTGGCAATCAACGACTACCTGGACATCTACTGTCCTCACTACGAGGGGGCGGGGGCGGCAGAGCGCATGGAGCACTACGTACTGTACATGGTCAACTACGATGGATACATGACCTGCGACCACCACAGGAAGGGCTTCAAACGCTGGGAGTGTAACCGACCACAAAGCCCCAACGGACCGCTCAAGTTCTCTGAGAAGTTTCAGCTGTTCACGCCCTTCAGCCTGGGCTTTGAGTTCAGACCAGGACATGAGTACTACTACATCTGTGAGTAATACTGTGTATTATGATATACTGCTGAGCCTTACCAAGTAGTACTTTGTCTGTATAGATGTGCCATAACCTCTACGTTTAGAACACTGATATTGTGAAGTTTGACACCTTGTCAAAGTTCCTGAAATCCCAATGCTTCCCTGTATTTCTTGCTTTCCACACAAGAGCTGCAAGAACTGAGTGTTCACTTTCTGCATAATACATCCCAGTACATCCTAATACAGGTGATCAGTGCTATTCATCTCCCCTCTGGTGACTGATCTTTGTAAATTCAATTTTAGTAATACAAAATAACAAAAAAACATCAAAAAGCAAAAACAAAAAAAAAGTCAAAAACAATCCAGAATTCTCCATCCTTTGAAGAAGACAAGATATGCCTTTATTTATCTCACAGTGGAGAAATTCACAGTGTTGTCAGCAGCAGTACACACAGAAATACACGACTTCCTGTTGAGTTTCGAGTATGTGTTCTTGAGGCTTTTTTGTGCGTATCGAGTTGTTACATGTGTGTGCCAAATTTCGTGGCTGTACGTGAAAGTGTGTTCGGGGGCCCAGTTTTTGCAATTTTGTAGGTGGCGCTGTTGAGCCATTTTTCTATTGAGGTGAGTATTTCCCCCTAATTATAAAATTTTTCGCCGGGTCTGATGTGTGTGGCAAGTACGTGTGCGAGTACATTTAGGACCTCAAAAACGTGTTTGTTTCGATGGAATAATAATAAAATATAAAAATCCGAGCAGTTCCAATAGGGTCTTTGCACCCTCATTGGGTGCTCAGACCCTAAGAAGAAGAAGAAGAAGAAGAAAAAGAAGAAGAAGAAGAAGAAGAAGAAACTGTGCAAATGCAAATATATACATAGATACATGTCATGGAATAGTGCAGCGGAATTCAGGTTTGAGATTTCTACAACTTGATTCTTACCAATTCAAACTTAAGCTAAGGACGCTGCAGATATGTTCATCTGAGGGCAATTAAAGCTGTTGAAGTGGAATTCAGACTCGTCAGGCTTAAAATGAAAATTTCTGTAACTGAAATCACAGCTAGTCAGAGTTTAGCTGCATATATCCTCTGTGTGAATTGTGGATATCTGCAGCTGAATTGTAGACATCTGTGGATACCTAAAATACTCTTTCAGACTAGAAAGAATGTCTTCAGTACGTGTAACAGTCTACCTATTCAATTTTCATATTGGTTTGCCGTAGACAACCCAGATCGTTTGGTTAGGTTTCTTGTCTGAAGAAGCTGGTCACTGGCTCCATCTTCCCTGTGACATCAGACAGATCATAAAATACAGCAAGCTATGACTGGTCATGGACCAACGTGTCGTCTGTCATCGCTCTCGGCCAAACCATGCCAAGTAATGATCCCATAATGACCTGATCTGAAACAACGATCCTCTGATCAACAACAAATATTGTTCCATCTGATCCTGATATATTGGGCTGAGCAAGTTTATCAGCAGATATCAGACATGTTGCTGAAGCGAATGGACATTTAACAATCAAAGAAACACACGCTGTCTGTATCTGTGTGTTTCTGCCTAGACATAATTTGTTCTCCAACCTGGAAAACATTTCCTAAATTGTGGCTCATTTGGACTGAAAGGCATCCCGCAGAGACAGAGACACACAGGCAGTTTGTTTTACACTACTCACAATAAGTTAGGGATATTGTTATTTACATGAATGCTTTTCCTATTTGGTCTGAATTTTAATGAAATAAGTAAAAATTCCCTTTGATATTACTAATATTTAATGAGAAGAAACACCATTTTCATTAGTTTAATATTTATTACCCCCCAAATTTTAACAATAACAAGGATAGCCCCAAATAACAAAAATTGACAATGTCAGTAGCGGGTGTTTCCACCATTTGCCGCAATGACAGCTTGACAACGACGTCTCATACTCCTCACTAGCCTCATGATGTTGTTCTGAGACAATGCGTTCCACTCTTCCACAAGTGCTACACGCAATTCTGCCAGGTCACGTGGGGGTGGAGTACGGTCATCCAGTCTCTGCTTCAGCTGGTCCCAGACGTGCCCTATGGGGTTCAGGTCAGGAGACATTGCTGGCCATACCATATGAGGCACTCCGACTTCTTGAAGTCGAGTTGTGACAATTCTGGCACGATGTGGTGGAGCATTGTCATCCATGAACAGAAAGTTGGGGGTGTGCTGGCGGAATTGGGGGATGATGATGGGTTCTATGATGTCTCTGAGGTAGGAACGTGCAGTGACTGGGGATACCTGCCCAGACTGTTGCACCTCCTCCACCAAAGCGAACCCTGGGGACCATGTTAACCTCAGCATATCGCTCACCTCGCCTTCTCCAGCAACGCTGACGACTGTCATTTCTGTGCAAGGTGACTCGACACTCATCAGTGAACAGGACGGTGGACCACTGCTGCATTGTCCAGGTCACATGGTCTTGTGCCCACTACAAACATTCACGGCGGTGTCTTGGTGTCAGTGGAGTCACCTGCAACGGTCGTCTGGCATTCAAGCCAAAGCGGTGGAGTCGGTTGCGAATGGTTTGTCTGCAAACTCTAGTACCCCTCACATCTCGTAAACGGGCCTGCAGCTCTGTGGCACTTGCATAGCGATGTCTGAGTGCATAGGTCCTGAGGTACTGGTCATCGTTGCGGTCGGTCGGCTCTTGGGGCCCCACTCCTGGGTCTGTCACGAACTGTACCAGTAGTTCTGTGTCTTGATGCAAGTCTGCCGATGACACTTTGAGACACACCAAGTTCACAAGCAACATCAGACTGCCTGCCACCGACTCGAAGGCGTGCTATGGCCAGGTGGCGCTGCTCGTCCGTTAAGTGACGTTGTGTGTTCATGGCTTTTTGAACGATGAACTTGAAATGACCTACTGACAATACCAGCTTTTTTAATTTATATTAGTTTTTTATACCCACAGAATGTTGAAATTGGTGCCACACTGAAAAGGGTTGTCTTTTAGTTTTTTGGTATTGGCCCCAGTATGTAAGTGTAATAGGGGAGGGGAGCCCCAAATACCTGGATGTCTGGAGTTGTTAAAAAGACAATTTAAAATGTTCCTAGTCCGGGGCTAGAGAAAAATCCTGGTCAAGCCAGACAGTAACCAGCTAGTCCTGCAGTGCGGCTTCCATGGAGGTTCCTCTCTCCCTCCTCCTCCTCCTCCGTCGGTCCTCTTCTCCAACGCTTGGGGGGATGGGGGCGACCTGCATAAGGGACAGGCCGTGTGATTGACAAACCGGTGACTGGTGAAGACACTGGATGCTACAGGGGCTGGTTAAGACAGGGCTACCGCTATCTTGTAGTCACACGTCACAGCAAAAAAAGAAAAAAAAACTTAAAACCATGGAAGCGGGCCACCGCTATCTTGTAATCACACGTCACAGCAAAAAAATAAAAACTTAAAACCATGCAAGCCGGTCCTGCTGCAACCACTCCAGCAACCACAATTAAAAGGCACTTAGCTGAGGGAGGGGGGTTGACTCACGCTCCCCCTCCACCACTCCCACGGCGCTTCCAGTCACCGGCCACTCTTTGCTGTCCCCGCTCCAGTCCAGCCAGACGCCTTCTGTGTGTGTTTCCCACACCTGGCCTGCCGTCCACCAACCCAGGAGCCGCTCCCTCTGTCTGCTCCCGTTCCTTGCTGCTCAGGACCTGCCACCACGCATGCTCAACACACACACCAGCATCTACTTATGCCTAATCCCGGGCGCGGGGTTACAATCAAGCACACATGCCACCCTGGCACTAACCCTCTCCCATACACACAAGATCACTCTGTGACATAAGGCACACTGTACACAGTGAGACCATTACATGGAAAACACAAAATGAGGTGTGTCTATCACCCCAATACAATAGCCTCCCTGTCCCAGAAATCTCTGAAGTGAAACAAAGACTGTATGTATGAAATCCACTGAGTCTCTCACAATATCCCTAACTTATTGTGAGTAGTGTAAATTACACTTATTGACTGTGTGTGCATGCTTGCATGCATGTGTGTGTGTGCGTGCATGCATACAAATCTGAAACTGGAGTTGAGGTTGGACAACATTGAAAAAAAAAAATATATTCATTCAAATTAAGTTCACCTTTAAAGACTTGCCCAACCTAAAACACAGAGAATGAATTTAAATATGTAATCAGCTGACGGAGGTAACCAACCAACAAGTGACCTGAATATTGCAGGTATTCCACAGTTCAACCTCTTGAGGAGACAAAAGGAAAAGACACCAGTTTCTAACCACAATCTGTCTCTAATCATCACGTCCTTCATTACAGTTATTAGTGCTGTAAATTTATTTCTACAAATATACAATCAAATGTGTGACCTGGAGACCTCTCAGGTGTTCTGCGAGGACCTTACTGCCACAGGATTTCAGACTAAATATAGGGAAGCAAGATTGAATTACGGTTGGGAATATTTTTTTATATCTTGCATTTTTTTTTTATATCTTAACTTCTATTTTATTTGACTTTTTTAAAAACCTGTTTTGTGCATATTTGCATTGCCTTTTCAGATTGCCTTGTGTTACTTTTAAATCTCACCTCAATGTGATTTTGTCTCGTGTCTTTTTGTCTTTGTTTCTCACCTCTCTCTGCTCTGTGTTTCTTCTGCAGCGTCGCCACATCCAAACCTTGCTGGAAAACCCTGTCTGAAGCTCAAAATCTACGTCAAACCAACCAGTGAGTTACCCTTCTCATTTGCTACTGATGTTCAAATCATTGAAGGGCTCACATTGACCTGGTCTCCAACAATCCTCCATATATCAAACCTCTACCTGAGTTCTACACATGAACTCAGTATTTATAGTCCTGATTAGTATTGTAAATCAGTGATCAGTGACATCTTATCAATAAAAGCTGTGATACAGCCCCTTTGTCCTCTCATAGCGTACCTAAAAAAGTAAGAACATGGAGACACCCTTCTGTGCAGAACAATGGCTGGTGAATGAATGGTTTTGATCATCTTGATCATAACTAACTGTTTAAGTCAGTTGTTATTTTACTGTAAGCCACACAGTCTTAAAAGAAATAGAAGCGAGTGATTTTAACAGTGACAACCCCGTGGAGTCCCGTCATTGCTGGACATGTTGTACTCTGACCGAGACTCAAGATCTAGCCTTGATGACAAGTCAAGATACTGGAACATTTATCCTGTGCTGATATCACTTGTGTTATGTATTTCACTAGAATAAAGCAGTGCTGTCCTATTTGATCTTCACTTGTCTGAATGATATCAGCTCTGGCCAGAGATCATTAAACGTCACAGAAGTCTTTGTCATGGTGGCCCATTGATAGAAGAATCCCCACAATGCTCTCTGCTTGCCAACACAGAACTGCCCATAGCCTGAGTGACCACCTTCTTGGTTCACTACAGTATTAAACAGTAAGAGACTCTACCTGGTGGAACAACCAGGAACTACAACTAATCTACAATACATTTTCTGATATACATGTAGAGAATAGGCTGCAAGGTCGCGCAGTTGGTTAGCACTGTTGCCTCACAGCAAGAAGGTTGCCGGTTCGCATCCTGGTGGGGGCACCGGAATCTTTCTGCGTGGAGTTTGCATGTTCTCCCCGTGCAGCGTGGGTTCTCTCCAGGTTCTCCGGCTGCCTCCCACACGGTCCAAAAACATGTTGAGGTTAACTGGTGATTCTAAATTGTCCATAGGTGTGAATGTGAGTGTGTTTGGTTGTCTGTCTCTAAGTGTGGCCCTGTGATAGACTGGCGACCTGTCCAGGTTGTCCCCTGCCTTCGCCCTAAGTCGGCTGGGATAGGCTCCAGCCCCCCCGCGACCCTAGTGAGATTCAAGATTCAAGAGTTTTATTGTCATATGCACAGCAAAACAGGTAGTTATACTACACAATGAAATTCTTATTCTGTTCAATCTCCCGAAAAAAGACGACACATTAAAAATAAATAAAGCAAGCAAATAAGAGCAACAATAAACAATTAAAAGCAACAATAAAGTGTTCAGTGTTACGAATGTGTGCGTGCGTTGCGTTTCACCCTCTCCACCATAGTCTCATTGATATACAGGGGTTTATGCGGCTCCTTTTTCCTTGTTCTTGGGTCGATGATCATCTCTTTGGTCTTGTCTGTATTGAGATGAAGGTTGTTGTCATGACACCAAGTCACCAGGTTCGCCACCTCTCTTCTGTATGATGTTTCAACCCCACCAGTGATCAGGCCAATGACTGTAGTGTTGTCCGCGAATTTAATGATGCTGGTGTTGTTCTGGGAGGCCACACAGTCATAGGTGAAGAGCTGGTGCTTACAGTTCTTGAGCTGGATGTGCGGCTGTGGACTCTGACTGACTGGGATCTGCCTGTTAGAAAGTTCAGCACCCAGTTACAGAGGGAGGGTGTCAGTCCAAGTTTGAGGAGCTTGTCTGTGAGTTTGTGGGGGCTAACTGTGTTAAATGCAGAGCTATAGTCTATAAATAGCATTCTGACATATGTATCCTGGCCCTCTAAGTGTGAAAGGGCTGTGTGGATGGCAGCGTTTACTGCGTCATCGGTGGACCGGTTCTGGCGGTATGCAAACTGTAGAGGGTCCACAGTGTCCGGGATGCTCTTTTTGATGTGGGTCATGACTATCCTTTCAAAGCATTTCATTGTGATTGGAGTGAGTGCGATAGGGCGATAGTCATTTAGGCAGGTCACATTGCTTTTCTTGGGTATGGGCACTATGGTGGTGGACTTAAAACAGGTGGGTACAGAGGCTTGTGCAAGAGACAGGTTGAATATGTCAGCAAGCACATCAGCTAGCTCTGATGAGCAAACCCTGAGTGCACGGCCTGGGATGTTGTCTGGGCCTGCTGCTTTCCGTGGGTTTGTTGTACTCAGAACCTTGCGCACATCTGCTGATGTCACCATGAGAGGTGAGTCCTGTGTGCTCCCCATGTCCAGTGTCCCTCTCTGCTGGTCAGGATTTTGGGCTTCAAAGCGGGCATAGAACTCATTCAGCTCCTCTGGCAGTGTGGTTTGGCTGGATGTGGCTGCGCTGCTCCTCTGCCGATACTCTGTGATGTGCTGAAGCCCCAACCACATGCGTCGAGGGTCTGAGGTGGAATAGTAGCCCTCCAGCTTCTGTCTGTACTGTCTTTTGGCGTTTCTGATGGCTCTTCTCAGGTCATATTTGGCCTTTTTATAGTCCTCAGCGGTGCCCATGACAAATGCAGACGAACGTGCATGTAGTTTGGCTCTTACATCACAGTTTATCCAAGCTTTCTGATTGGGGTATTTTCTGTAGTGCTTTGTGGTGGTGACAGTCTCAATGCATGTGCTAATGTAACCAGTAACCGCAGAAGCATATTCATCCAGATCAACGGTACAGTCTTCCCGCTCAGCTGCAGTTCTAAACACATCCCAGTTTGTACAGCTGAAGCAGTCCTGAAGTGCTAGATCAGTCTCTTCATTCCACACTTTAACTGCTATACTTACTGGGGGAGCTTGCTTGAGGAGTTGTCTCTAGGTTGGGTAAAGGAATATGGAGATGTGGTCAGCTTTTCCAAAATGAGGTCTTGGGACAGCCTTAAAAGCACCTTTCACGTTGCTGTAGACTTGGTCCAGGATGTTTTTTTCCCTCGTAGGAAAGCTTACATGCTGATAGTATTTTGGGAGGATAGTCCTGAGGTTGCAGTGGTTAAAATCGCCAGCTATGATGAATACAGCGTCCGGTTGTTTGGTCTCTTGTTTAGCGATGACGTCGTGCAGGTGGCCCAGTGCACTAGCAGTGTTAGCTCATGGCGGTATGTAAACAGCTGTTAAAAACACGGTGCTGAACTCACGAGGCAAATAAAAAGGTCTGTATTTCACCATCAGCAGCTCAATGTCCGGTGAGCAGTGTTTTTCGATAGTCTGTATGTCAGAACACCACTGTTTGTTTACATAGACACAGACACTGCCACCACTGTGTTCGCCGATGCCGATGTCCGGTCTCCTCAGTAAGTAGCATGTCTTTCCAGCTGGATCGCCGAGTCCGGTGTATCCTCCGTCAGCCAGGTTTCTGTGAAGGTGAGCACACAGCATTCTCTGATCTCACGTTGAGTTGTAATCCTTGCTCTCAGCTCGTCCATCTTGTTTTCGAGAGAGCGGACGTTTGCTAGCAGCAGGCTTGGTAGCGGTGGCCTGGTCGCTCTAGCTTTTAGCCTAGCATGCATGCTGCCCCTCTTGCCTCGTTTCCGCCTCGGCTGCTTTACTCGCCGGCTGATCAGTGCCCCAGTCGCCCGGG